CTGAACTCCAAAGAAGTCTTGTCTGGGCTGCAGGTAGGGTGTGTGACCTTTCCCAGCCCATGGGGAGCAGCTTCTCCTAGAGTCAAGGACCTTAATGATGACTCAGTGGGGCACCTGGGTGGCTCAGTTGGTTAAGCGTCTGCCTTCAGCTCAGGTCACGATCCCAGGGTCCTGGGATCGAGTCCCGCATCGGGCTCCCTGCTCAGTGGGCAGTCTGGTTCCCCTCTCCCTCTGCCTCTGTGCATGGTATCTCTTTCTCTCTCTCTCAAATACATAAATAAAATCTTAAAAAACAAACAAACAAAAAAAACAAAACCAAGAGACTAGAACAAGGATGTCTTTTTCTCCTTCAAGAGTGAAGGAAATATTTCCTGGTCTCTTCTTCCATTGATGGCCAGAAACAAACAGAAAAGACATTGCTAGAAAATCCTAAATGTGCACTCTCTCTCTGCCTGTGTAAAGTCTGTCCCAGGGTAGCACTTAGGTACCAGAGGACCTTTTGTGTCCCAAGAATGGAGGCCCTTTCTCTGCCTCCCTTCAAGTTCCTTTTCTTGGGAAACATCAGATGTGTGTAGAATTGGCCATGCCGTGTTACAGAACACAAGGAAAGTCTTAGGTTAGGAACTTCCTTTCAGTTCCAGAGGCAGGGCAGTGGTCTATTCCAGGGCCCAGCTGAGAGTGGGGCTGGGGAGTTGGGGGGCTGGGGGAGTACTTACGGAGAGGTGCTCTGGAAAAGGATCCAGCTCCTTGGATGCCTGTGCATCTGATAGGAATGCTTTACTGTGGGATCATGGCCAAGACTCAGTTTCCCCTCTGGGCCTTGGCCTTTTAATTCTATAAAATGTTGTGTTGGATTTGATCTTTAAGACCCCTTTATCTCCAATTCTATGTCACTACCATCTTATCCCCCTGGACTAATTGGAGGAGATACGCAGGGTAAAGAAAGGGAAGAAATTTCCACCATGAACTCATGGTCTCTTTTAACAACTTTAAAGCAAAATGGAGAGATTACAAATCATAGACCATAACACCTCTAACACATGAACACCTCTAACATATGTAGTCTTGGAGGAGATATAAGCCTCAGTCATCTGAACTCCCCACACTTTTTTATACCCTATCACAGACACACACACACACACAGCTGTGATGTGCATTAAGACTGACCACAAGCTACTCAAGCAAGGGAGGGACAGCCACCCCCCTTCCTTACCCCTACAACCCTGTTATCAGAACTTCTACCCATCAGGCAGCCTCTGCCTCTTCCAGTTCTACTGACCACGTATTCTAAATCACAGACCATCACACAACTGCTCTCTTACACTACAGGATTCTTTGCATGCCTGGAACCCCCAACACATCAACAGTCCAGGGGGCCTGAATTTGGCAGCTTCAGAGGCCCCCATTCACTGTCTGCTTCCAAGGGCACAGAACAAAGGTCATCTGGGGCCCAGGGCCAGGGTAAAGCTCTCCCTGGGCAATGTGTGCTTCTGTCCAGAGCTGGATGACCTTTACAGACTAGGCAGCACTAAGTCCCCTGGGGCCAGTCATTTGGACAACCTCCCAGAGCAGCAGGTCACTTGTCTCCACTCTCCATCTGGCCATGGCCAGAGTATACATGGGTACATTTTCTGGGGAGGGTAATTAGGCAATAAATCTTAAATTGCAAATATATGTGCCTTATGCTACAACAATTCTATCTTTAGGAATGTGTTCTACAAATACAGTCATACACATGTGAAAGGACACGTTTCAAGTGATTCAGTGCAACATGATTTATGAGTAGAAATTGGAAATGAATTGGATATCCACTAGTGACCAACTGGTTTCATAGGGTATGGTATAACTATGCAATGAAATATTAAAAATGGGATGCTATTGTGTATTGTATGGAAGGATTCCTGATATACATTAAGTGAAAATAAGCAAGGTGCAGGAGAGTGGGCATAATTTACTACCATCTGTGTAGAAAGGAGAGAATGAAAACACATATATTCGTATTGACTTGTTTACATATAACATATTACTGGAAGAGAAAACAAGAGACCAAGGGTGATTATGCATAAGGGAGTTGAAAACCCCTTAAGAAAGGCAACTTTCTTTCTTTTTTTTTTTTTTTAATATTTTATTTATTTATTTGACAGAGAGAGAGATCACAGTCAGGTAGAGAGGCAGGCAGAGATAGAGGGGGAAGCAGGCTCCCTGCTGAGCAGAGAGCCCGATGTGGGGCTCGATCCCAGGACCCTGAGATCACGACCTGAGCTGAAGGCAGAGGCTTAACCCACTGAGCCACCCAGGCGCCCCTGAAGGCAACTTTCTATCACATGCATTTTGGTGGCTGGATAACATGAATGCATTACCTATTCAAAAGATTGAGTGAAAATAACACAAAAGTCCAGAAAAGAGAGAACAAAGTGGCAAAGGAGGGAGCCCTTCTCCCTGGCAGCTGCTTGGGCAGGGGGAGGCCAGACTAGAAATGGGAGCAGGAACTAGGGGGTGAGCCGAGGGAAGCACACCAGGTGTTTAAGCATTTCTCTGCTTGCTCATAAAAGCCTTCTCTCACAGGGGCCTGGAATTCCTCTACTCATGCTCTCCTTCGGTTACTGGCCTAATCAGTACCAAAACTCAAGCATACTCATGTGGCTTGGGAAATCTTGTCTTTTTTGAAAATGTAAACATTTTTAGACCCTTGGTCAGAATATCGAGGTCACCCGCTAAAGCAATGACATCCTTTGAAGTTGCTTGACTTCCTTGCCCACTTACCCAACTCTGATGTCCTGGAAAAAAAAATTGCAGAATGACATGTATTTGTTTTAGAGATTATTCTTTAAGAATCTTATGACACCCCTTTGAGATAACTGGCAACACTCTGGGGTGTTGCAAAACCCAACTGGGGAGTGATTGCCCTGATGACCTGCAGGAGGCCATAGCCAAGACTCAAGGCCAAGTGGGGCCTGCATCACTTGGGCGGGACTGGGGGCTTGGGGGCAGAGGCTAGGCTCTGGACCTCGACTCATTGGGAGCTCCATGGATCCAAAGACCTGCTTGGGGTACTGCATGAATGTGGAAGGCATTGGTGTGGGGGCCAAGGACAAACCCTGCTTGTGGGTGAGCTGCTGGGTCCCTGGGAGACAAAACTGCTTCTTTCTCCTCAGGGATAATTTTAGGTCCTCATGTCCCCTCCCAACCCCTGGCTCAGCCTCCCAGAGGGATTGCTTACACCAGTGACTATAGAGCGTTCTTTTGAAATATAGAGCTGTTCAAATGAGACATGTGAGGGTATGGCCCTGGAGGCATTTTCCATGATAATTTTTCCCCTTTTGTCCCATTGTTACAGGCGGGGAAGCAAGACAGCTCCAGGATCAGGTTCTCTGATAGAACTTAATAAAGGTATTAAGTCTTCCTGCCTCTCACCTTGAACCCAGGGGCTTCCTTTGCAGCCTCACCTCCCCACACCTTGCTTGACAGCAACTGGCTTAGAGATTGGGAGAGCTTGGCTGGCAGAAACAGCCTGAAGTCTGGGGGAGAGAAAGAGTTTTAGGCTTGTCAGGTGAGGGAGGCTCTGATGGGGCTGTTGGAAAAACTTCAAGAGGCCTTAAAATACCAGGCCTGGGGTGCCTGGATGGCTCAGTTAATTAAGCCTCTGCCTTTGGCTTAGGTCATGATCCCAGGGTCCTGGGATCAAGCCCTGCATCAGGCTCCCTGCTTAGCAGAAAGCCTGCCTCTCCCTCTCCTCCCTGCTCATGCTCTCTCCCATTATCTCTGTCTCTCTCAAATAAATAAAATCTTAAAACACACACACACACACACACACACACACAACAAACCAGGCCTATCCTTCCACACAACAGAAGATGCAACATGTGAATTCCTCAGCTGAACATCTTCTAATTTTTGAAAGTTCATAAATAAAACCTTCAAGGAAGTAGAGTGAATATTTTACTATCGGGAGGGTAGGGATGGAAGATTTGTGGGTGGCTGGGCGGTGATGGTAGATAGGCTTCATGTCTCAACCTCACACCCGTCCGTTCACTTTCAACATGTCTTTGAAGAATTTTTAAATGGAAAATTTTGAAGAATTTTGAAATTTAAAAATTTTAAAGAATTTTAAAATAAGGGACTGCCTAGAAATTGTCTAGGTGGAAAAGTGTGCGGAAGGGACTACGTGCAATGGGGAAGATGCAGAAATTGAAACTCTCAGCATCCGGGACTACATGAAACCAAATCAAAATTTAAATGAGTAGGCAATGCTAAAGACTCCTGGAAAATGTCGAATTTCTCCAGTAACTGCAAAGAACAAGAACAGCAAAAAGACAACAGAAAACCGGAGGGGCAGGGAGGGTAAAGGAAATAAGAGAAGGGAAGGGGCCCAAATCTCATCGGAATTGAGGTCTTGGGAGAAGAGAGAAGACACTACTGCCCTCTTTTACTTACAATATTTTAGAGAAGGACACTCAGGTGGATGAGATGCTACCGTGGATCATTTTGCTTGCCCTGGGAGGGTTACCTTTTCCTCTAACAAGATAAGGTGGTGGCCGCACTGGTGTGGAGGGAGTGGTCTTCGTTACCCATCAGCCAGTGTCGCTGCTGGATCTTCCCGGGAAACTGGTGCAGAGTTCCAGGAAATCAGGGCTGAAGGAGTGCTGCGCTGAGTGCGTGCGGTGGTATGGCAGGAGTGGGCACAACGTGGCAGAGAAGTCCAGGTGTCGGGGCTCTAGACATAGTCAAAGGAAAACTCAGGCATCCATCTGTCTTCCCTCCCCTCCCTCCAATTCCCTTCCTGACGCCCGGCACGCATCGAGACTACTGGCCGCTGCCCCTTTAAGGGCCTCCACTCCTCCCCCCACTACCCCACCCCAAGCGGTGGCATCAAGCGGGTGGAGTGGGGTGGGGGAGAGGCTGAGCATTCTCGCCGGTCAACTAGGGAAGATGGCCCAGGCCGAGGAAATCGCTCCCCTGCCCCGCTGTCCCCTCCCCTGAGCTGGGGGAAGGGTCCCATCTAGAAGGGAGACCCTCTCTCTCTTTCCTTCCCGGCCCACGCACGCCCTGGGAATGTCTCCGTGGTCTCACCGGAACAGCTCTCTGGCCTCGTGGCCTGCTGACCCCACCCCGACGCCCAATACTGCCAACGCGAGTGGGCTGCCAGGGGTGCCGTGGGCGGTGGCCTTGGCGGGGGCGCTGTTGGCGCTGGAGGTGCTGGTCACCGTGGGAGGCAACCTGCTGGTAATCGTGGCCATCGCTCGGACGCCGAGACTCCAGACCATGACCAATGTGTTCGTGACTTCGCTGGCCACAGCAGACCTGGTGGTGGGACTGCTGGTAGTGCCGCCGGGGGCCACCTTGGCCCTGACCGGCCACTGGCCCCTGGGAGCCACTGGTTGCGAGCTGTGGACGTCAGTGGACGTGCTGTGTGTGACAGCCAGCATCGAAACCCTGTGCGCCCTAGCCGTGGACCGTTACCTGGCAGTGACCAACCCGCTGCGCTACGGTGCGCTGGTCACCAAACGGCGCGCCCGGGCAGCGGTGGTGCTGGTGTGGGTCGTGTCCGCCGCAGTGTCGTTTGCCCCCATCATGAGCAAATGGTGGCGCGTGGGAGCCGACGCCGAGGCACAGCGTTGCCACTCCAATCCCCACTGCTGCGCGTTCGCCTCCAACATACCCTACGCGCTGCTCTCCTCCTCCGTCTCCTTCTACCTCCCGCTTCTGGTGATGCTCTTCGTCTACGCGCGCGTTTTCCTCGTGGCTACGCGCCAACTGCGCCTGCTGCGCGGGGAGCTGGGCCGCTTCCCGCCCGAGGAGTCTCCGCCGACTGCGTCGCGCTTTGTGTCCCCCGCCCCGGCTGGGCCGTACGCTTCGCCCGCAGGGGTGCCCTCTTACGGTCGGCGGCCCGCGCGCCTTCTGCCTCTCCGGGAACACCGGGCCCTGCGCACCTTGGGTCTCATCATGGGTACCTTCACTCTCTGCTGGTTGCCCTTCTTTGTGGCCAACGTGATGCGCGCTCTCGGGGGCCCCTCTCTGGTTCCCAGCCCGGTTTTCCTGGCCCTTAACTGGCTAGGCTATGCCAACTCCGCCTTCAACCCGCTCATCTACTGCCGCAGCCCCGACTTTCGCAGCGCCTTCCGCCGTCTCCTGTGCCGCTGCCAGCGTGAGGAGCACCAGGCCGCCTCCTCCCCGCCTGGCCACCCATCGGGCGCCCCTGCCGCACTGGCCAGCCCCGCGGAGTCCAGGCAGTGCCCACCGCTCAACGGGTAGGTAACCGAGGCAAGATGGCAGGCGCCTCAAGATAGGAAGCATTCTGTGTCTCCTTTTGGTCAGTTCGAGTTTGGCGTTCGGTAGGATGAGGTGGGTTTGGAGAGGTCTCTACAGCGAAAGAAGGGGAGGCATGGAGTAGGGAACCAAAATGGAAGCCAGGACCTTTTCTTTTCCCGCATCCGACCCACCTGCCCCCGGGCTAAAGCAAAGGAGGGCAGCGGATTGTTCTTCAACCCAGGACCCAACCAGTGTGCGCCAGGAAGTGCGGCTGTCTCCTGAGCCTGCCTGGTCAGCTCTAGATTTTCTAGCTCACTTGTTTGGCCTCCCAGATTTCTTGCCACCAGTTGGGCCGGCTTTGACTTGCAGAGAAGACTAGAGGCCTTCCCAAACTCTCGGTCTCAGCTCTGGTTTCTTTGAAAAGTTTGATAGCTATGGAAGGATAGTGAGAAACCACTTGGGTATGAAGGATAAACAGGAGTGGGGGAACCCGTGAGTGAGTTTCGGTTCTCCCTGGAAGGAGCAGGGCTGGTTTAGGGTTGGGGGTGGGTTTTTTGTGGCTGGGTGGAGCCCAGCCCGGATGCTCTTTGTGTGATTACATACATATGCTTTCCAGGGTCCCTGACCTTTACTCCTTTCCTCTAGTGCCCCTGTCCCCACCCCGTGCCCCTCATCCCAAGATATGTTATCTCCCTTTTCCAGGGCTTCCTGGGGGGATTTCTTAGGTCCTGAGCGTTGAGGAGAAAGAACTCTGTTGATCCAGAACTTTTGGAAAGCCTCTGGCCCCTGTTTAGAATGAGCCCTGTGGAGTGCCTCAGCTGGAAATCTCTGACTTCCAGAAACTGATGACTTGGCTTTGGGATGGGGAGGGGGGGGCTTTGGGGGAGGGGAAATCCTTACCAAGTAGGTTTTCATCAGCCTCTTGTCTCTCTGAGAGTTTTCTAAACCCCATCCCTGAACTTCACCACTACCCCAGCAGCCTGAGCTCAGCTGCCCGTGGAGCTCAGGACTAGCTTTAGAGGTGCACCTATGACCTTGCTCACTTCCATGCTATGTGCTTAAGGCAAAGAGAGCACTCCTCCTTCCACTCCTTCTGCTGCCTGGACCTGAGGGACCATGCAGTGTTCTTTGGGTTCGGGGGCCTACCTAGGCTGGGAGCAGAAAGCTAGAAAAGTTCCGGGTTTGGGGTTTTGTCCCTGACTCCATCACTAGGGATGTCTAAGCACTAGCTTCCCCACTTTGGTGCCAGAAGGACTTCTTCAGGGTTTTGGGGGAGGGGGGAGGGGAGGCGGGGAGGGGCTGGAGGGCAAACCATTAGAACGGATCCCTTCTCTTCCTTGGAACATCAAATTAATAAATATTACCAAATGTGGTTCACCCCCTGCCTTCTTTTCTCCATTTCTTTCCCCCATAATCCCCTTACTCCCTTCTTAGAGCTGGCTTGTGGCAGACACAATAAATTAGGACTAACCCCTGCCCCCTTCTTCCTAATCGGGGTGAAAGAAAAGATGAAAAGTCTGTTTGGGTGAAAGGGAGTGAGCTTGAGCCTTTCCTGCTCCTATATCCCCATCTTTCCAAAATTCATGGAATCCACTTGCAAGTGGGGAGCAAAGCCAAGCTGCCCACGAGCTTGAGGGCAGTGCTCCTAGGAGGACACAGTTTGCTGTGCTCAGGATCAGGGCACATGGGGTGTATGTCAGCCCCCATGCTATAAGCCAGGGGTGCATTTGTAAGATCCCATTGCCATGGGGAACCAGTTTTGTCTAGTGTTGCGTGTGTGTGTGTGTGTGTGTGTGTGTGTGTGTCTGGAGGCACAGAGCATTGTTTGTGTTGGGCAAATGTCTTTGGTTATAAATATATTCTGATGTTTCCCATCCTTTCTACAACCTCTCCCTTTCCTGGGCTGCAGAAATCGAAGTTATCCTTTTGAAGTAAAGCCGGAGTTACAAGTTTGAGTCAGCTGATAATTTTTCCCCCTTATTCCAATTCTTAAGAACCTTATCAGGCAGTTTTCTATGGAAAGAAAATTTCTGTGGAAATCACTGAATCGTTTTGTGAGTTCTTATTTAAACTCCATAAGCGGAGAGCATTGTCCCAGCTGATTTACAGGGTGGCTAGTAAATCATCAAATGTTTACTGTGTGACAGCGAGAGGCAATGCACCGGCTAGGTTCCGGGGCTCCAGAGTTACAAAGCTTCGATCTGTCTTGAGGATAAGCTCAGTGGATTTCCACATATGGGTGTTCCCTGTGAATTGGACCCGGCCTCTGCAGCTCCTTTTTTCCAGGAGCCCAGGTTTTATATCTTCAGATGTTTGCATGCCAAAGATGACTTTCTCCTTCTCAATCCAGAACTGTCTGAGATCTCTGGGGTCTGCGGTGCTGGAGGTTTCTTGGCAAGGCCTTCATTTTTGAATCCTTAGTGGAGAAGGAAGTCTTGCTTTGGCCGGGGAATAAGTACCAGGGCTCATCGCTCCATCTCTGGGTATTTTTCCAACATTACCAAGGAAAGTTGTCCAGTCAGTCCTAGGCAGGGAAGAAGGATGATTTGGGGAGTGGGGGGAGGAGTGGGGCTCTGGTTTATAGAAATGTCCTTGAACCTTATCCAAGAGCTCGTACTGCCCAAGTCTTGCTTGACACACACCCATGTGCCAGCTGTCAGGCCCTTTTAGAGTGTTTAGACTTGCACAGGGCTGTGGACTCTGTCTGCAAATTGTCACCAGGGCATCTGACAGATGGGGAGTCAGCCATTCTGGTCATCCCTCCAGCAACTTGTGGCCAGGTGTCAGGAAGAGGGCGACTTACATCTTGGATGCTGAGCAGGCTGCTTTTGTTAGCACAGGGCCTGAGCACTTGAACTCTAGAAGACAACCATCCTTCGAACCTAGAGAAGTGAAGACTTACAGACCAGTGATAAGGAAAGAGCCCATGGAACCCTGGCCTTTCCAGAGGCTGTTAACAGGGGTTGGTGTGGGCAGAAATGACTGGGTGAAGGGGGCGGAGCTCAGTGGAGAAGGAATGAGTGACTGGGTTTTCCAGAGGTGACTCACCTTCTGCATTAGGTCATCAGGTGGAACCGCTAAGGAGCAGGCAGAATTAGGTAAGGAGGAGATTGAGAACAGGCTTTTCCTAGGACTGTCCCTATGGTAGCTTCTTCTGGAGGACGGTGGTAGTTGCAGACTGTGGGTCTCATGGGTAGTCATAGGGCTACCATCCCACACCAGCTTCATTCTTCAGCTCTTAGAAAGTAGGGGCACCTTCTCCCCTTTCATTCTAGGGGCACAGGTGAAGGCCATGGGAATAGTGCTTCTTTAGGTTTTGATCCTGAAAGCCAATCCTCTGTCCCGACACCCCCCCCCCCATGCTTCCAGGCTGCCGATCTGTATCTGTGTTTGCATGTCTCTCCAGAAGTGGGGGCCTGCAATGGGGAGGAGGTACAGCTGATGCTCTCCCCCGCCCCATGCAAAAAGCCCTGGATGTGGTCCACCGCAGGCCAATTAGTTGAAACATAATATGCACCTCAGTTAGATTAGCAGAAACTCCAGGAGGCAATCTAATTATGACATTAAGGAAATTCAAGACGCTTTCCTCAGCGTCCTCATCTATGAAGTAAAGGGAGAAAGGTTGACTTTCTCTCCTCTCTCGCCTTTAGAGGGGGAATGAGTGTGTCTGGGATGGCTGGCTCGCCTAAATCTCTGCGAGTCAGTCCGCAGTCCAAGGAAGAGACAGCTTCGCGGCCTCCGGCTTTGCTCCCCGCGCCCCAACCGGCCCCCGCTGCGGGAATAAGCTGTGCTGGGCGCCCCCTGATGGTGATAGGAGGTACAACATGTGTGGGTTTGACCGTGTCGGTCTCGAGAGGGGCAGCAGGAAATGCGTTTTCTTAAGGGACTCTCAGAGCTGGGAGAGATCATAGAAATGATTTAGTCCAGTCCTTTGGTAAAGTAGAAGAAGAAACTGGCCTCTAGGGAGGTGAACTGTAAGTAGCCAAGATTACTTTAGTCAGAGAAAGGCAACACTGGTAGCATAGAGAGCACCAAATTTGAGGCTGGAGAAGCAAGGAAGGGAGAAGGAAGGAAATAGCCATTGACTGAGCACCATTCCGCATGCCGATACTGTAAGAGGGGATCTGCAAATGTTATGTTGAAGTGATAATAAATAATAGAGCCTCACAGAAATCACATAGCTTCTAACTCAGTCTACCTGGCTCTAAAGTTCATCCCCGCCCCCCACCCCAGACACACACACTGATAATCAGTTATGTGACACTGAGCAGGTTACTTGGCCTCTCTGACATTTTGTTTGCCTGTGAATCAAATGGAGATTCTATTATTGTTCTACTCAGCTCACCCAGACGGGTTTTGAAGACCAGATGAGAGACCGCATATAGAGTGTGGAAATGGATAGGGTTCCTCTGATGTAAACAGTGTCATCAGAGCAGGGAGCAAGGATTCATCTCAAGCCTCCTGGTTTTAATCTATGGGTAGTCCTGCTCCCACTGACAGCCTAGATCTTGGACTTGTCTTTGGCCTGGGTGGGTATATCCTGCCTGGTCTTTCTTCTGCAGGTTCATCCCTGCCTCAGACGGATGCCCCTGGTTTCATATCCACGTCACTACGCATGCACACACATGGCTCTTTTTTCACATTCAGACTCTGGTCTGGCCTCTGCCTGACATGTTAGTCCTGGTTTGGCTTACCCTTCGTTTCCCACACAGCAGTTGTGATGAGCTAAATCTTAAGTATGGACGGAAGTTTAGGACACAAGACACTTCCGGATGTCAGGGCTTTATGGCACATTATAGGAAAGATTATTAGAATGGGGCCCTAATGAACCAGAAAAGAAGATGGCCCCTTAGTTTGCTAGGGTTGGTGTAACAAATTCCTTTTCTCATAGTTCTAGAGGCTGGAAGTAAAAAAATCAAGGTGTTTGCAGGATCACACTCTCTCTCTCTGAAGGCTCTAGAGGAGGACTCCTTGGTTGGCTCTTATAGCTTCTCATGGTTGCAGGCAAATCTTGGCATTGCTTCTCTTGTAGCTGCATCATTATAACTTTTGTCTCCATCTTCACACGGCCATCTCCCCCTGTGTGTCTGTGTCCGCATTTTCCCTCTTCTTATAAGGACACCAGTCATTGGATTAGGTCCCGACTTAATTCAGTATGAGCTCATTTTAACTTGATTATATCAGCAAAGACCCTATTTCCAAATAAGGTCATGTTCTCAGGTTCTGAGGGTTAGGACTTCAATGTATCTTTAAGGAGGACACGGTTCAACCCACAACAGAAGGTATCATGGGGAAGGAGGAATACTATCCTTCTAGCTTTTCTGTGTTCATCTTATTCCTGCTGTTTTATTATTTTTTAAAAGTCTTTTTAAAAAGATTTTGTTTGTTTATTTGACACAGAGAGAGAGATCACAAGTAGGCAGAGAAGCAGGCAGAGAGAGAGGGGAAGCAGGCTCCCCGCTGAGCAGAGAGTCCGATGCGGGCCTAGCTTATGGGGGCCTCGATCCCAAGACCCTGAGATCATGACTTAACCCACTGAGCCACCCAGGTGCCCCATTCCTGCTGTTTTAAACCCATATTTTCAAGGTTCTGCTTCATCCTGTACTCAGAAGTGCAGTAGGGTTGCTATCTATTCATGGATTTCCACTTCTGGATCTTTCTTCCCTTCTCCCTGGGCCCCAGATTTGAGAAGCCACTGAGCAAGTCAGAACTGTGTTTGTTGTCTCCTATGGACAGAAGTTGCTCTCCATTCTTCCCTCCTTCCTTTAGTGATAGAACCCCTAAGTTTTAGCTGGGCACATGGTCTTGCTAAGACATTGCAGCCTCCTTGCAGACATAGGTGTGACTATGTAAGTTCTAGCTGATTGAGGTGTAGAGCTTCCAGGTCTGCCATTAAAGGGAAAGGGCATATCCTCCATATCCAATCCTCCCCTTTGCACTGGCTGGAATGCAGGTGTGATGGTAGGAACTGAAGCAGCCACCTTAGGTCATGAGATGGCAACTATGTTTTACAGGTGGCAGAAGAACCAGATAGGAGGAGGAGCCTGGGTGTTCAACAGTGTGGAGTCACCATGTCCACCATGGATTGCTTCTGTTTAAGACTCTTACATGAAAGAAAAATAAACTCCTAGCTTATTTAAGTGAGAGTTATTTTAGTTTTTTTTTTTTTAAACAGCAGCCGAATCAAATTCATCAATGAAGGGATAATAAAAGGGTATAAATGAATGGGGATCTGCTGACCTTCTGTGATGAATGTAGCTTGGGTGACAAAGCTGCCTTGCTTTAGTACCTCTTAGGGCTTCCCTGATCTCTGGGAATTGGTATCTCTATAGAGTCGGAGTTCATGTGGCACTCGACACCACCAAATCTGTCTCTTTGATGTTGATTCGCACGGGAACAATGATCAATGAGTGTATTCATTTTCCAAGGCTGCTGCAACAAGTTGCCACTATCTTTGTGGCTTAAAACAACAGAAATTTATTCTCTCATGATTTTGGAAGCCAGAAGTCTAAAAGCGAGGTATCACCAGAACAGGCTCCTTCCGGAGGCTCTGAGGAGGAGTCTGTCCCATGCCTCTTTCCTAGCTTCTGGTGGCTCTGGAAATTTTTAGCATTCCTTGGCTTGGAGACATATCTCACTCCAATCTCTACCTCTGTCCTCACTTTCTTCCTGTGTCCATATGTGTCTCTTTTCTGTCTCTTATAGGGACACACGTCATTGGATTTGGAGCCTATCCTAATCCAGGATAACATCATCTCAAGACCCTTAATTGTATCTGCAAAGAACCTTAATCCAAATAAGGCCACATTCTGAGATTCCAGGTTAACATATATTTGGGGACTACCATTTGACCCAATATAGTGAGAGACACTTGTAAATCCTTTAACTGAGAGTTCTGGTCTTGAAGATTATCATCCACTCTAGTCACCCCTCAGGAAAGGGCTGTTCTCTCCAGAAGCTCTTAGACTCTGTGGGAGGCAGAATTCTGAGAGCTCCCAAAGACTCCTGTCCTTGTCTAATTCCCTCTGCTTAAATGCGGGTGGGACCTATAATTTGCTTCTAAGAAATAATAATATGGCAAAGGTGATGGGATATCACTCCTGTGATTAGGTTGTATTACATGGTAGAGGTGAAAGGACTTTAAAGATGTAATTAAGGTCTTTAATCAATTGATTTAGGTTAATTAAAAGGCAGATTATCCAGGGTGGGCCTGACCTAATCAGGCAAGCCCTTTAAAAGAAGGTCAGCGGTCAGAGATGGAAGACATCAGAAAGATACTCTGGCTGTCCTCGAGGAAGCTAGCCACCTGAGTTCCACAAGCGCAAGGAAGTGGATCCTGCCAACAACCACGTGAATTGGAAGAGGACACTGAGCATCAGAGGAGACTGTGGCCCTGGCTGACATCTTCACTATAGCCCCGTGAGACCCTGAATGGAAGATCCAGCTCCCCCATACACAGACTCTTGAGACATGGAAGCTGTGAGGTAATAAATATATGTTGTTCTAAGCTGTTAAAGTTTGTAGTAATTTATTACACAACAATAGAAAACAAATGCAGATTCACTGCACAATTCTGCCCAAGGCTGTTCTTTCTAATAGTCCTTCTCTGGTGGTGTTTTGTTTCATTTTTTAAATTTACTTAAGCAGTCTTTACCTGCAACAAGGAGCTCAAACTCATGACCCTGAGATCAACAGCTGCACACTCCACTAACTGAGCCAGCCAGGTGCCCTTCTCTGGTGGTGTTTTTAAAGGTTTCCCATCAGAAACCAAAATCCAGTGGAACCACAAGCTCAGGAAAGATCCCATGACCAGATATGGTTTACTATTCTTCCAAAGGACATTTGGAGACTCTTGCTTGGGTGTCTGAGGAACAGGGTCCTTTAGATTTTGTGTTTGATGAAGGCCTGAGGGAACAACCAGTCATTCTATGATTCCTTGGCCCACACATACCTTTTTAAGAAAACGAGGAGCTAAAAGTTCAAAAGCGAATTATTTCTGAGTTGCTAGTGAGGAGCCACCCTTTTTACCACAAAAACACAGCAAACATAGTTCCCAAAATTTCTTCAGCAAGAACCAAGAAATGTTGCTTCTGCTGTTGGTATTCCCAGAAGGGAGAAGGGATGGGTCACTCCTTCCCAGGGAAGAGAGAAGTGGGAACAGGAGAGCTTTGCAGCAGCTCCGTGCCACCCACAGTGTCTCTGGTTTCTCACCAGTCACTGGATCACATGAGTGAACCCTTCCTCCCAGGCCTCCCCCTGGGCCCAAGTCTGAACTTAACTGATGTTGCAACATTCTCCCAGAACCACAGGGAGGGAGACTGGGGAACTAAGGGAAGACGCTTAGGCAGCTGCTTTTCCAATGGAGAAATTCCTACCATTCTTGGGGAAGAAGAAACATATAGAACTGATGGTGAATTTTACTGCTCCAGCAACCTCAAGATCCTGAACCTAGCTGAGTGATGGCTTCCTCCCATTTTTGAGGGAGGAACTAGTTTTTTTTTTTTTTTTAAGATTTATTTATGAGCGGGAGCGAGAAAGTGTGCTTGAGCAGGGGAGGGGCAGAGGGTGAGGGAGAGAGAGAATCTCAAGCAGAATCCCCACTGAGTGTGGAGCCCGATGGACAGACAGATGGACGGACAGATGGATAGGATACAAGGCTCGATCGTAGGACCCCAAGATCATAACTTGAGCCGAGATCAAGAGTCAGATGCTTAACTGACTGAGCCACCCAGATGCCCTGGGGAAGAACTAGTCCTAAGAACAAACTAGTTCTTACTCCTAATCCACTCTCATGCTCATCTCCTTGGTAGGGTTGCTAGCTAGCTGGTATCAACCTGGTTGGTCTGCCACTGGACTTCTGACCTCATGAAATGAAAAACATATTTAAACTTTGCCTTTGCTGTCCTTTAACATTTTTTGCAAGTTGTTGTATTGAAAAATTCTTTAAAAAGCAAGAGATAGAAAAGTTGCACAAAAATAAGTGGAACTTATTACTGATGCATAAGATATTGTTTAAATTAAGTGGATATTTTTCAGGATTGCCCTTGCTTGCCAGCATCTCCCCTAATGCTTGGTCTGTGCCAGGTATTTTTAGGGGGGACATGTGGCAAGTTTACCCATTAGCCACTGCCATAGCTCAGGCCCTCATCCCTTCTTAACCAAATGAACTAAAGTAGTTTCCACTTGGCCTGCTGAGTTCCGGCTACCCTCCAATTCATCCTCCATAAGACCCCAGAGAGATTCTTCTAAAATACAAATCTGACAATGTTATTCCCTTTCTTAAAATCATTCAGTGGCTTTCTAAAGCATTTGGGGTGAGATTTGGAGCCCTCCATACAGAGTGTGGCATTAAATGTGCCTACCTTCCTTACCTGATTTCTCACCACTCTCCTCCTCCATACACTATTATTCCAACCACACTTATATTTACTAATGAACTCATTTTCTTCTTTATCTTTGTGTCTTCACACAGACTGTAGCCTCTGTCCTCCATCTAAACACAGATTGTACACTGTTTTCATCCACTCATCCATCCATCTCAGCAGTAATAGTGAGAAGAGTCTCTAGAGATATTACAAGATAAAAAGGATACAGTTTGCCAAGGAGTTGAATGTAGGGTATAAGAGAAAAAGAAAGATGTCAGGGATGAGACCAAGATTTTTGGCCTGACCACCTGGCAGAATGGACTTGCCATTGACCAAAATGGGGGTAGGACAAGGGAAGGAGTGAGATATGAAACTATGAGTTAGTTTTTGGACACAATAAATTTGAGAAGTCTATTAATTATTTGTTGGAACATCAATAGGCATGTGGGTTTCCAAATCTGTAGGTTAGGAGGAAAGTTGGATCTGGATATATAAATTTGACAGATGGATATTTAAGCTCATGGAAGTGGAATGAGCTCACAGGCATGGTAACCATAGACAGAGAAGAGAAAAATTCAGAGTGTATTAAATCAATACCTTAAACTCACACAATGTTGGCTATATGTCAGTTAGATCTCAATAAAGTTGGAAAAAATAAAACAACTTCAGGCATTAAAAAAAAAAAAAGAATACTGAGGATCAAGTCCTGGAGCATTCTAACATTTAGAGGTCAGAAATAGAAGGGACCAGAAAAGGCAACTGAGGAGCAGCAGCAGTGGGGTGAAAGGAGAAGCCACAGTAAGTAGCATCCTGGATGCCGTGGGAAGAAAGTGTTTCAAGGAGTAAGAGGTCTGTTGTGTCATACGCTGCTGACATCTCAAATAGGAGGACCAAGAATGCACCATTGTCATGTTTGACCTTGATGAGAGCTGCTTTGATGGCGTGGAGGTGATGGAATGGGCGCAAGAGAACTTGGGAGATGAAGAAGTGGAGATAGAAAATATAAAACAGTCTCTCCACAGGTGCTGTTCTGAAGAGGATCAGAGAAATGTGGTGGGTGGATGATCTCCTTGTCATCTTAATTAATCTGGGCACCTGTTTCCCAGAATTCTTGTTAGATTCTGGGTTAGAGTTGACCAAAAGAGGAGAAACCTGCCAAAGATGTGAGAGGCAGAAGAGAAGTGGCTCCCACTTAATACCGCAGGGACTTCAGAGTGAGAATAGAAAGCACACGGGTTGGGGTGGGCTGCTTGTCTTCAGACTCTCCTCCATGCCAGGCCCAGAGCAGGTGCTCTGCTTCCAGAGTGTGGGCTCTGCCGACCAGGATGCCACACCACTGGGGACTTGGCTGCACACCCGCAGATGTGGGAGCTGTGCAGAAGCCCTATCTTCTCATAGACCCCTCCACGCATTACACCTTCTGAGTCCCAATTCTGCAAATGATGTGTCTGGCTTCTCAGATTTCCCTGTAGGCTCTGATTTGTCCACCAGGGGGGTTTCAGGCAGCCTGACAAAGGATTTTTCTTTAAATCTCCAACTCCCTTGCGGGGACCATCCTTTCCCTGGGTCCTCTTGCAATTGTGTGAGGTCTAATTGCCACAATACCCACATCGCTCACAGCAGTTCTGCTTCTCTGGTTGAGCCCTGACTGACTCATGGGGTAACAGCTGGAGAGGGGAGGAGAGGTCTCCAGAGCGGTGTTTGTTTTTAAGATGGGAGTTTCGCTGCCTGTTTGTATGCCTGAGAGAATGTTCTAGGGAAGAGGGGTGATTGGCGATGGAGGAGAGGAAGGACAACTGCAGGACAGTGTAGCCAGGACCCAGGCAACAAAGGCAGAGGGTGGACTGAGATGGGGCCCAGAAGAGGGGGGTTCAAGCACCCTACTAAGAGAAAAGAGAGTAGGTGGGTACTTACGTCAGTAGATGGGCAGCTGTGATGGGCGCCCATGAAACCCTCTTCTGATAGCTTTTCCTGTCTCTGTGAAATAAGTACCCTCAGTAGTGTGGGAGGAAGTATGGGCGTATCGGAGAAGAGAGGGAAAGGGGTGATAAAATTGTGAAAATTTGTCTTTTTTGGATGCCCAGCCTGTGTACTTCTTTCTAGAAGAAAGTCTTCCTTTTCTGACTTTCGCTGTAAGGCAGCACCCACCTGCCCTAACTGAAGCTGTAATGACCAGACCCGCTGTCCTCCCACCCTTTAGCTAGAGCTTGGGGGGCGGGGGGGCGGGGCACGGGATCACGTGAGTGGGCTCAGCCAATCAGGCACGGACTTCCTGGTCCGTGGGCCTTCGGAGATGCGAGCTGCGATGGAACGACCGTGGAGGGTGCTGATCCACAGCAGTAGCTGTGGCAGCGAAGACCCATGTCTGGGACCTGCCGTGGCAGCCGGCCTTCTGGTGGCCAAGCAGAGGACTGTGAAGGTGGGACCAGTCACTGCGTCCTCTGATGTTCAGCAGTAGGATCCCCACCTGCTTCCTTTCGTGGTCTGATGGTGGCCGTGCTTCCTGCTCCCAAATCTCCAGCCTCCCTATCGCTTACGCGAGCTACCATAGATCTTTTCTATAAATTCCTCTTATACACGAACCAGCTAGAGTCCATTTCTGTTGCTTGTCACCAAGACCCTAAACGGATATTGACCGGAATCAGAGACTTGAGCCAACTAACAGACATTCTTCTTTTCCGATTTCTTTTCACAGGCAGTTGACGTCATTTTGGGGGTTTCCTACGTGGCGGGGCCAGTAGCTTCTGAGAGCTTTAGGATCGTTTGCATACAGCTCTATGACTAGAGAGTAATGGACAGCTCTTCTCTGCCAGCTCCAGTAGGACTCCAGGAGCCCAGGCTTGAGCCACGTGCCTCTTCTCCCAGGAAGCGCTGTCACTCAGGATTCACGGACCAAAGCTGCAGAGAGGGCTGGGGCCTGCTATCAGAAAGAGTAGGAAAAGGGTTTCTGGGTGGACTTAGAGAAAAATCACTACCTTCCACCTTTTGGAAGCTCATCAGCCCATATTTTTCTCCAAACATGTAATTTTAAGAATGGTCAAAACTAACAGAATGCAGTGTTTCTGCATGCAAGTAAAAACTTGCTCTCTCCTCCCAAAAGGAACAACCCAAACTCACATCCAACATCCAGCACAGAGTTAGGATCTCTGGGTGAGGTGAATTTTCCTCATCTGAAAGCGGCTACCCATAATACTGCAGGTTATGGACTGAAACAGAATTTAACTATTCCCTAATATATCCAGTGTTCAGTGCTGGGAGGGAAATGGCTATGAAGGCCATCTAGAAAAGCAGGGAAGGGGAGCAACACACAGTGATCACTGGTCCAGAGCACATAGCACGTTTATGTGGACAGGGACATAAGGAGAAACCATTTGTTTGATCCGCGTTCCTAGCAATGGAATGAGCTCTTTGGATCAGTTATAAGGACACCCCTCTCTCCCAGCCCTTTATGATTTTTCTTTACCTTTTGTCCTCCTTGACTGAGCCTGAGGGGTCTATGGGGAAATTTTCCCATGAGGACTACTCCACTTTAGCAGCCAACTTCTGTGACCATGGTTACTAGAACCTGAAGATTGGGGTCTTGCAATTTCCTGTGTGTGGGGGGGGGGGACCCTTTAAAAACTAGTCTGTTCAAATGTTAGTTTGAACTTCCCAAATACTCTGTGTTATAAACTCTAGACTCAAAACTTCCTTGGATATTGATACGGTGGTTTCTGTCTCTTGGTAGCCTGAGGGACATGCTCTTTTCCATAATAAACCTCACACAATTCTATAATATTTGTTTATCCCCATTTAAAAATGCATAGGGGCTCCTAGGTGGTACAGTCAGTTAAACATTGGACTCTTGGTTTTGGCTCAGGTCGTGATCTCAAGGTCATGAGGTTGAAGCCCATGTTGGGCTCATGCACACACTTGCGCTCTCTTTCTCTCTCTCAAAATAAATAAATAAATCTTAAATAAAATGCATACACTGAGGTGGAGAGAGTTTAAACCACTTACCTAAGGGTATATAAGTATTAAGGGGGAAAGCTGAGATGGAAAGCCAGATCTGCCTAGCTCTTCTGTCCGCTCTACTATGAGGCTCTAGTTGACAGTCGGGGGGCAGGGTTGGCGGGTCTTACGTCTGAGTGCTGTGGCCAAGAGGGAAGGTAGGTAAGAGCTGAAGGAACTATTTCCAGGGGACTCTGAGGGTTATAGACATGTACTGACTGCTCTGGTAGGTGAGAGTTTATGGCTTTGGAAGCTTTAGGAGAATGGGTCCTCGGCGTTCACACTGGTGTCCTGTAGTTGTCAGAGTGGTCACTGGTCACTGTGGCAATAAGGAAATGCTGGACACAAGTGATGTCCTACGAAACAGATGTGGATGAGGGGTATGACTGCACTGGATGAATGTGAAAGAACGTTCCCCAAAGTCACACAAGAACACCCTGAGAATGGTCAGGAACAATTGGGGAAGATTAAGATCAGCTAGTGGTCCATACTGTGTAGGAAAAGGCAGGTTATTCTAATTCGTTGAACCATGTCTGTACCTGGGCTGCTGAGAGAAGCGAACATGGGGCCATAAACACTCCACTCCAGTTCTCAGCTCCCAGACAGAGCCTCTGGCATGAGCCAGCCAACTCCTCCATGGTGACTGCCCTCCTGCTGTCACACTCCATAGCCTTGGGGTCATCCAGAGAGCACCTTCCCTGCATCCCATGGCTGCTGAGACAGCAACGGAGACCCTGGAAGTTTAACAGATTTAGAAGTACAAGGACAACACATATAAAAATAGGCATTAAAACTGGTGGTTTTTTTTTAAGATTTTATTTATTTATTTGACAGAGATCACAAGCAGGCAGAGAGGCAGGCAGAGAGAGAGAGGGGGAAGCAGGCTCCCTGCCAAGCAGAAAGCCTGATGCAGGGCTCGATCCCAGGACCCTGGGATCATGACCCAAGCCGAAGGCAGAGGCTTTAACCCACTGAGCCACCCAGGCGCCCCAAAACTGGCGATTTTTAAGACTTCAGAATGGATGATGCAGTGAACCCTTGCTGACCGCTTTCCTAGCGTCCCTTCCCCGCCCATTCCCATTTTTAAGAACACTGGAGATCTCTTTTAAGGAAACCTTCTGTCCCCTCTCTCTCGTGTGGTCTGGGAAGGATCCACCTCAGCTCCAGCTCTAGGCAGTTGGTTTAAACCCAGTAGAGTATCCCATCCTCCCCCATGATCAGGTCAGAGATGGGCCAGTGACTCAATGCAGCCAAGAGAAGGGAAAAAGGAGACTGGGGGCTTTAGGGAAGGAAACGTTCTCATTCCTCCAGGGACCTAAGAGAAGAGGTGCTCTCCCTTCCTCTGGATTGTAAGGATATAAAGTCTGGAAAGGCTGCGGCCATTTTTAAAAACATAAACACAGTATTTGAATGCGAGATCTATGTGTTTGGTTTAACATTTCCCAAGTACAAAATGGTGTACAATGAAAAGCAGGTTAGTCTTCCTCCCTGTCCTTATCCATCAACCACCCATTTCTACTCTCCAGAGGCAGTCATAGTTACCTGCTACTGGTATGTATCCTTCCAGAGATTTTCCATGCATATACATGCAAATGTATTTTTTATTCTCCCCACACCCTCCCCCCAAATGTTCCTCCACTTTGCTCTCTATTCTGTACCTCCCTGGTTTTTACTTAAGGTGGTATCTTGGAGATTTTTCCACAAAGGTACGCAGAGGGCTACTTTAAAAAAAATTAACTTTTAAAATTTCTTTTCAGTGTACCAGAATTCATTGTTTATGCATCACACCCAGCGCTCCATGCAATACATGCCCTCCATAATACCCACCACCAGGCTCACCCAACTTCTCACCCCCCACCCCTTCAAAACCCTCAGATTGTTTTTCAGAGTCCATAGTCTCTCATGGTTCATCTCCCCCTCCAATTTCCAACTCCCTTCTCCTCTCCATCCGCCCATGTCAGAGGGCTACTTTTAACAGCTGCATAGAATTCTATTATATGGATGTTCCATTATTTTTTTTAAAGATTTTATTTATTTATTTGACACAGAGAGAGAGATCACAAGTAGGCAGAGAGGTAGACGGAGAGAGAGAGGGAAGCAGGCTCCTCGCTGAGCAGAGAGCCTGATGTGGGGCTCGATCTCAGGACCCTGAGACCATGACCCGGGTGGAAGGCAGAGGCTTAACCCACTGAGCCACCAGGCACCCCTATGGATGTCCCATTATTAATTCAAACATGCCTTTAGTAATGGCATTGTTTCTTTACAAATAGAACTGCTCTGTAAACTTCTTTCAAATGTGTATCATATTGTACTTGCTACATTCACTTTTGCTCCTGTGCCCAGAGTTGGCTGGAGAACCAAACTGAAGCATCCAGAAGAGCAGAGTCAAGGAAATCACAGGGAATGAAGCCGGAGCCCTGGCGACACACTGACACTCTGGGCTGAACTGTGATCGAAGTCAGATGTACGGTGGGCTGCCCAGTTACAGAGCAAATAAGTGATCTCTCTTGCTCAGGCTAGTTTGGGTTGGGTTTTTCATTACTTGCAACGGAAACAGTTCTGTTTGGCACACATGTTAGAATTCTCACAACTGAAATGTGAAGTGAAAACTGTGTGATGACAATGACATGTACATTTTGATTTCAATTGTCTTAAAATATAAACATCACAGAAGAGAAACTGGAAGAGGGTAATACCAAAATGTTAAGTGTGGTTGTAGATTGTTTGTAGCAAATCGATGTTCTTCATTATAGTTGTTTCTTTTTAAAAATATTTTATTTATTTATTTGACAGAGAGAGAGAATGCAAGCAGGGGGAGCAGGCAGAGGGAGAGGGAGAAGCAGGCTCCCCATGGAGCAGGGAGCCCGACGCCGGGCTCAACCCCAGGACCCTGGGATCATGATCTGAGACAAAGGCAGACACTTAACTGACTGAGCCACCCAGGCGCCTCTTCATTATAGTTTCTTGAGGTTTTAAAAATTTCTACAATAATGGGGATGATTGTCATAATCATTTGTCGCAAGGTAGGTTCCCTGGAGGCACAGCCTGAGATAGGGATTTGGGGTTCATGATTTGCAGAGGGAGCACACTGTAGGAGGAGACTGTAAGAAGTGGCATTGTGAAGGGGAAAGAGGCTTTTCAAAGATGTGGTTCCAAGTCAAGTCTAGCCTTGAGCTGATTTGGGGGGTGGGCCGTGGAGTGCAAATTGAGCCAAGAGATACCCCAAGACAAGAGCCCTGGCCTTTTGCATGCCTGGGTTAGAGAGTCATTGGCTGCCCCCGGTTGGTGAGGGCGTAAACTGCAGGTTGTTTTTGGGTGAGCAAGTGTCTGTCAGCAGAGGGCTACTCTCCAGAGAACTGGATCTGGAAGAGGAGCCTTATCTGCCAGCAGGTCAGGTAAAGGATATCTGCGTGAGACACCAGCGATGTCTACAACAATCACTTACAAAGTTATTTTTAAGAAATAAAAAAAAGAAAGCAAATCGTAAGACTGATCCTCCAGAGGCTGGCTCTTTGCGCCCTTGGTTTCTGCCATCTACACTTGCTGCTGGGCCTGATAAAATGGTTAACCAATATAGAAGTCTTGGCTCTAGATCTGAGAGAAAATAGGATTGGCCTACGGAATTGCAGATTATCCTGTTTCTAAACCTAGGAGTCTTTATTTAAAATAACTATGGAAGGAAACATTGCTTTCTTTCTATTCCTTTTAAAATCCGGGATCCTTAGCAAAACAAAAGTAGAAGCTTTTTAAATGTATCCCTCAACTTGGATTATTGCTGGGTCTGAGGTTTTCACTTCTGCACCTGGCTTCTGGGCAGCCTGCCTTGCCCTGTCTTCCAAGGGCTGCCTTGCTACTTTGGTCTGGGCAACAGGGGGGCCAGAGAAGGCAGTGAGTTAGAGAGAGGTGCTTGGGAATTCCAGGTCCTCCCCTCTCCTCTCCCATCTCTGTGAGCTCTCTCAGGGAATGGTCCTCAACTTCCATGGAATATTCCCATAGCCTTTGGGGACTGCCACCACGGAGACTGGGAATTGTAGCGTTCTGTTGCTCTGGTGACCAGTTGTCCAGAGCTTCCGCATTGGATCTGACAGGGTTCTGGAAAGAGGCAGGTCTGGCTGGGCCAGGCTTGGAGGAAGGCTTTGGAGCAGGAGCCCAGAACAGCCTAGGCTTGGTTGTACTTGTGTTTCAGTGATGACTACTCTTTCGGTGTTCATGGATGTGCCCCTAGCCCAGAAGCTAGAAGGCAGCTTGTTAAAGACCTATAAGCAAGACAGTTGTCCTAACAAGATTTTCCTGGCTTTTAGAGGTAGATGCCTTGTGGTTTGGGAGTGTTATAAGACTTAGTACTCATATCCTGATTGCCTCTAGGAGGACAGTCTGCCCCTGCTGCAGAGGAACCTGGAGATGGTCACGCCTCCGCAAGTAGAGAGCTCTGTTTTTGTTAACAGAATTGTCCTGTGGGAAAAGTACAAAAAATGCTATGGGTCATTCTGTGCCCTTTGCCCTTAGCTGGGGGCTTCCAGGGGTTTGGTAAGAGCTACGTCTTCTCCTCCAGCTCCATGCTTCGGGGTCTGCATGGGCACTATACTTTCTTCAGCCTCTTCCTTCTCCCCTCCCCTCCCCTTTTCTGTTCCTGAATTAAGAAGGGCACCCCAAAATGACTCTTCTGAAATGCAACCAGCCCTTGCCACTGTGAAAGTCGGGGTTACCTTTGTTTAGTCTCATGGGTCTAGAACTCCCATGTGATATGTCATATTTGCCCTTTAAAATGGCACAGGCTTAAAAAAAAAAAAAGAAAGCATGGCTTCAGCTGTATACTTTAAAAAGACAAAAAATAGACATTCACTCCCAGCACATTGTTTTTATAAAGGGGAAGGAAAAAAAAAGAAAGAAAGTTGTCTTTTCCTAGGCAACTTTCCAAAGCCCCTATAAAGCCAGGACCGATGAGTTGTTTGTGGGCTATCTGCAGAGCCCAGACTCAGAGGCCCTGAGGTCAGCCATCCAGAGTGCCCCTGTGGCTTCCCTCACAGTCTGCCAGACCAGCAAAGGCCATCCCTGGGTGTCTTCTGTGGTGCCCAAGATGCGCCTGCAGATTGCCCAGGATCCATCTCTGAACTACGAGTACCTACCGGTGAACGGCATGAAGTCATTCACTGAGGCGGCCTTGAAACTCCTTTTTGGAAAGCACAACCAAGTCATTGTGGAGAACAGGGTGAGAAGAAGGGCCCTTTGCTTACTTATCCAGACACAGGGAGTGGAGCTCTGGGATTACACAGTCCTTAACCAGAAAGGGGTGCCTTGGAGGGCTCCTGGGCATTGACAGAGGGGGCCCTGAGACTCAGAGTCTGGAGACTTAATCAGTGGAGGACGGAGTCAGGATCCAAACCTGAAGCCACCTTTCTTTGCATCACTCTGCTGATGTCCAAGCTCTTTCCAGAAAGGAATCACTTGGGTCTGAGGCAGGACTTCATCATTATTACTCTTTTAAAGAGTTATTTCTGTTTATTTTCTGCTGGCAGGTAGGGGGTGTGCACACTGTTGGTGACAATGGTGCCTTCCAACTTGGGGCCCAGTTCCTCAAAATCTGGCGTAAAGATTCTCAGATAGTTTACATTATTTCTTCTAAAAAAGGTGAGTTATTATGCAAAATGGGGGTGACAGAAGATCCTTCGCTCCTGTTCCCGAGTCCCACCCCATTTGCCATCTTCACTGTTGCCCTTCTCACTCTCTGTCATGAGCAAGATGGCGGACAAGCCAAGTATGCTTGTCCATTTCCTGTTATCGTCCCACCTTCTGCCAGTGACCCTCAGACCCATTCCCTGACATGTTTGCCTCCATTTCCTCAGTACCAGCTGGAGGGGGGCTGTGTTCCCACAGAACCCTATGGACTCGTCTTCCAGGACATGGGCTTTACAGTTCGCGAATACTCCTTCTGGGACTCCAAGCAGCTGTGCATGGACGCCAACGTGCTCCTCAATGTGGCGGAGGTAGAGAGGCCCCACTCAGAAACTTCTCCTCAGACCTGATTACAGTTTTATTTGCCTTTTGTCCCCGCTGACCCTGTTGTCATGAAAGGCCTTTCCTAGGCTTGAATTTGCCTGGCCCTTTAGTAGGAACCAACATGGAGGACGACTTCTCCTCCACATGCCCTGGTGCCACTCCCACTTGGTAGGGGAAGTGCCTGATGAGACGGTGTCTACCTGCAGCAGGCCCCGCATGGCTGTATCTTTGTGATTGGGAACATTTGTGACTGCAACTTGACACAAAGTCAGTGGGCAACGTTGATGGCTAGCTTGAAGGTGAGCCCAACATCTGCCCAACTTTCTTCCCTTATACCGTCTGTCATCTCCTCCATCAACCTCATCCTTTTCCCATTCTCCTTTCTCCTACAGAGCAAGCAGATATTCCTATTTTTTGACATTTCCAATCAAGGTTTATCCACCGGGGACCTGGAAAAAGATACTGGATTCTTACAGTACTTTGTGTCTCAAGGCTTTGAGTTCTTCTGCAGCCAGTCTCTGTCCAAGACTTTTGGCATCTATGGTATGGAATGGGCAGAAAGGAAAGGAAAGGCCTTATGCTGAAGTGGTGACTTAGCCATGGCACAAATGATGTGCTTGGTAACTCCTATGCTCTGGAGAGAGCCAAGGACTCCAGAGAGAGCACCATGGAGGCAGAAGGGAAGAGCATTGAGCTACAAGTCAGGTTTTGTGGTATCATCTCAGCTCAATTCCTAAAACTGGCTACTAAAACTGACTCTAGTTCTTTTTTTACATTTAATTTATTTATTTGTTTATTTGCTTAAAGAAGGGGGAGAGGGAGAGAAAGAGAGAGAGAGAAACTCAAGGGGCTTGATCTCATGACCCTGAGATCATGACCTGAACTGAAATCAAGAGTCATACATTTAACTGACTGAGCCACCCACATGCCCCAAGACCGACTCCAGTTAAATCATTTTGCCCCTTTGGGCCTCTGTTTCCTCATCCAAAAGATGAGGGGGAGGGCTTAGTGATCTTTCAAGTGCTTTCCATCTTTGAGGCTCTTACTTATAGCTACTTTTTCTGGAAGAAGAGCCTCTGGCCACTTCCTGGGGTCTGGATACAGACTTGGCTGGGAAGGGTGGGGGGGGCAGTGGTCCAACCCTCTCTTCTGCAATGTTGGATGTAAAGTCGTAAGAGAAGGCTCTGGTAACAGAGGACACTGAGGGGCTGTCTGTCCCAATGCTGCAGATGAAGGAGTAGGGATCCTGGTCGTGGTGGCACTCAACAACGAGCTCCTGCTCTGCGTCCTCTCCCAGCTGATGAAACTCACCCAGGCCCTGTGGCTAAACCCTCCTACTACTGGTGCTCGAATTATCACCTCCATCCTCTGTAACCCTGCTCTTCAGGAAGAATGGTAAGAGTAAAGTATAGGGCGGGAAAGGATGGCAGAGCCTCTAGACATATGTACAGACTTGCCCATTCACAAGATTCTTCCTGCTTAGTTGCCTTGAGGAGGCAATTTGCTTTGACTTCATTCATTCATCAACATTTGCTGAGGACTCATTGTGTATCAGCAGCAGGGGCTGTGCCCAAGGTTGCCTTACCTTGGGGGAGTGGACCATGGGATGTTCTTTTCGGACACAGTCCAATGAATTATTTGAACTCTTCCAGGTGGAGAAGATTAAGCAGGCTCAAGGACTTGCGACTCTGGCAAAATCTGCCTATGAGCCTGCTTGGCTTGCTTAAATTAATATGGGCTGAAACTCCTCTCCCACTTGTAACAAGATCCCGTGCTCCACTGGGACGCCCTCAGGCACTGTGGTTGGGGCTTTGGAAGGCAAGAAGAGTACAATGGCAATGAGGAGTTTAACAGCAGGGAAACCTCATACTTTAATTTCCTGCTGTCTTTTCTTTGGCAGGAAGCAGAGTCTGAAAGGGCTTGTAGAGAACATCATGCTGATCAAGGAAAAGGTGAAGGAGAAGCTCCGACTCCTGGGAACGCCTGGCTCCTGGGATCACATCACAGACCAGAATGGGTCCCATAGCTATCTCGGACTCAATGGTAAGTGTCTAGGAGAGGGTAGCTCCCTCTTTTCTGACCTTGGGATTGTGTTTGAGCATTAAACTTCACTGACTGGGTGACCAGTCCCTAGCTTCACCTCAGAGTTTGATTGGAGGGAAGATGAGTTGCTTTAAAGACCCTTCTGGATCCCCAGAAATGCTGACATTTCCTATTCCCTGTCATGCCCCCTGGGTTAGAGGGGAGTTAGTATCTCAGACCCTGGGATTATCACCAGTCCAGCAGGTGGAATACCTGGTCAAGAAAAAGCATATCTACCTCCCCAAGAACAGTCGGATCAACTTCACCTGTATCAATGCCCACAACATAGATTATATCACTCAGAGCATCAACGAGGCTGTCCTCTCCACCAAGGGCTTGGACTAATGTCTTCAGAAAATTGATGAGCCTCGGTTGGAATAAAAAACTTTAGTCTTCGCAAAAATTCTTTGCTGATTATTCATTGCTGCAGTTCATTTCTCTCTTCCCACCTGTTTATGAAGCATTGGTCTGGCCTCAGCAAAGAGAGGTTAAAAAGGCCCAGAGAAGAAGGGAATGTCTATCTTCAATGACCATCTCATATTTATTGAACACTATATTAAGGTCCTGATCAGGTGCCTTAGTTTGTTTGGGCTACTATACCAAAATACCAACCATTCAGTGTCTGGTGAAGGCCCTCCTCCTGGTTCATAAACAGCGTCTTCTAACTAGAACATCACATGGTGGAAGAAGCAGGGGGTCTCCCTAGGGCTTCTTTCATAAAGGCACTAATACTATTCATGAGGGCTCTGCCTCCATGATCTAACCACATCCAAACACCATCACATTGGAGATTAGGGTTCAACATATGACTTTTGAGAGAACACGAACATTTAGATCATAGCATCTGGGCATCAAAGGGAAGGCAAAAAAAACCAGGTACAATCCAGTGCTTTTTCTCCAGAAGCTTATAGTTTAATTGAGAGATGAGACTTAGTCCTATGAAAGTTAAGCAACATTTCAAGGTTGAATATAATAAAAAGCCACGTAGATTATATGAACAGTACATATGTCAAGAATTTAGAGAAGAATAACCTTAATGTCGGCCAGAACAGTTGGGAAAGATCTCACAAGGAACTACAAACTGGTTTGGGTATTGATGGAAGGCTAGGAGTAGTGATAATAGGTAGAAGGGAGCTAGAAGTGTATCCCAGGCAGAGAGCAACCTGAGCAAGGGTCACTGGCATGATTGTAGAATCTGATTATTTATTGGGCATCTGCTAATATATAATCAAGCCACCAAGGTACTAAAAGGTATGATAGTTGTTGTTCTTATGCTGCCCTCCACCCTAACTGGGGAGACTCAACTTACGTGGTAAAAATGTAGTTAAGAATAAAAGGTAACATGGGACACCTGGGTGGCTCAGTGGTTTAAGCACCTGCCTTTGGCTCAGGTCATAATCTCAGGGTCCTGGTATGGAGCCCTGTGTTGGGTTCCCTGCTTCACGGAGAGTCTGCATCTCCTTCTCCCTCCCCCCAGAATTCCTGCTCTCTCTCTCTCTCTCTCTCTCTGGTTCCATCTCTCTCTCAAATAAATAAATAAACAAAATCTTAAAAAAATAAGAAGTGACATGTCATATGTGTTAGATGAGTATGAGTAAATGCTTAACTCAGCAGGACTTGCTTGCTCAAACTGTATACAACTGAAAGGTCTTTGGGACCAGCCCTTGACTGGTTCCTGGGAAAGGAACTCTGAGCCCTTGGAGTATCCTGCTTGATAAAAGAGGCTTTGCATGCCAAAGATCTTGAGACATGTTTGACCTCTGGGGGCCAGAGACTGAGTGCTTAAGGTCAGTTACACGGGCACTGCATACCTATGTGATTGACCCCCAATAAAACTTTGGATCCCAGAGTTTTGGTATCCCTGATTGGCAACACTTTATACACATATCACACATTGGTGCTGAATGGGGCTCTGTCTGTGCTGGGTTTAGCACAAGGATTTGGGCAAATACAATGCAAGCTTTCTTGTATTCCGTGAAGACTGTTCTTACAGGGCATGCAGAAGTGATCAGCCTTATGAGGTTGGGCTTTGGAACTCAAAGCCTGTCTGGCAAGACTAATGGGTTCCTGCCTGGGAGGTAAATAGTAGCTTTCCCATAGATTGTGATTCTTAGGCTAGGAGGCGGGGCCTCTGTCTACAGGTCTCATAATCGAGGAGGATTGCAAGCAAGTTCATGGAGCAAGTGCAGCGAGCTTACAGATGGATTTATCTTGAGTCCCTGTGTTTCCTCACTGATGGATGAAGATAGAATTTATTCCTCCAGGTTTTCTCAATCTCTAGGACTCTTGGTTTTGGAACCCAAGCCACTGATCTGTGGACAATCCAAGCAGGCTCACTGAGAGTCGTGTGTGGGTATTTTGGCCCTGGTCCTAGTGGAGATCCCACTGACAGCCAGTATCAACAGTTAGACATGTGTTGATTCCAGCTTCCAACCTTCAAGCCATCCCAGCTGACTGAATGAAGCAGAGATAGAGATAAACCATCCTGCTGAGCCCTTTCCTTATTACCAATCTAAGAGCAAATGAAATGTTGTTATTGCTAAGACATGATGTTTTGGAGTGATTTATTACACAAATATAGCTATTTGGAACAAATATTTTGTCTTTTAATTCTGTATAGTTTCTTCTTCCATGGGTTTTTTTTTTTTTTTCCCCTAATCTTGTGATTTTTTAAAATTGAAGAACTGGGTCTTTTGTCCTGTAGGGTTTCCCACAGACCGAGTTTTGCTGAGTCCATCCCATTACTATAATTTAACCATTCCTTTGTCTCCCTGTATTTCTTGAAAATAAGAATTTAAGATGAGAGGTTTGATCAGATTCAGGTTACTATTATTCCTTATCTTAGTAAGGTCACATCCTTGATGGTGGTGGTATGTTTCATCAAGAAACACATGATACTAGTTGTTTTTCTGTGATGTTAGTAGTTATTGATCATTGTCCAGCTCCCTTAATTCATTAGTACTGCAGAATGGTGATATTCTCAGTCTAACATTATTTGTTCATTTTTTAGCTAGAATATGTTTACAAATAGGAATTTCCTCTCACTGTGATTTGATGAATCTGAGCTGCATTTTATATAGGAAAGGCAGAATTAATGTTTCTGTCCCACTGTTTACCAGTGTTTAAATCAATGAGTTATTGTACTAGCATTCTCTAAAGGTGATTGGTGAGGTATTTTAAAAAAGGTATTTAAAAAGGTATTTTAAAAAGTGTTATGAATGTATGGGCTTAAGTCTATTTTATGTGTTTGATTCCACTGCAAATAATACTCTTATTGATATTAAAATGTCCCATCTTTGACCTGTAGGACCCAATTCAAATTAGTTTCTGAGATCTTTTGATACAACCCTAGTACTCTGATAGCTTCTCTGCTTTCTGGCATGACAAGATGTTCCAGGAAAATTTTGAACATCTTCTGCCCCAGATCTGTCATTAGTCATTTCTCAAAGGAGCTGTAATTACTTTTAGCAGAAAAAAGTATTTATAAAACCATAATCTGGGCTCTTGAAGTGTTCGTTGCTGCTGGACTGACTGGTCATCACTTCCAAGCCTTTTCAGTAACATAAAATATATCGAGTGCTTACTGATAACTCCAACCACAATTCAGAAATTCATTGTTTTTACTGACCCCATTAATTTTGTATCTTCTTACAATCTCCTTTCTCTCATGCCCCAAATCCCAGCTTTTGACAACATGAATATGATTACTTATTTGCTTTAACTGACACTATTAACACAGTAGCTTCTCAAACATAATTTCAATACCAGTACTGATATGATTACTAAAAACAGCTAAAAATATTTTTTTTGGCAGAGGTTTTGTCCTTGGGCTACATCCCACTGGGGATATACATCCAAATTACTTGTTTTAAAGACACTTAGAATAGTTCCTCTGAGTGGTTATACCACCAGTTCAATCTACAGTTGAATTCATTTGTTTTATTTCACTGTTGCTCTTAGAGAATAATTTTTACTTTTCTTTTTTGATTATGTAAAATACTTACATGGGTCCAAAGTCATATCTATAGAACAAGGTATATTCAAAGAAGTCTGTTTGTTTTTTACTATACCCTCCATGCTGCTCCCTTCTCCCTCATAGATAACTTTTGTCAAAGTTTTTAAAAAACATTTTATTTATTTATTTGATAGAGATCACAAATAGGCAGAGACGCAGGCAGAGAGAGAAGAGGAAGCAGGCTCCCTGCTGAGCAGAGAGCCTGATTCGGGGCTCGATCCCAGGACCCTGGGATCATGACCCGAGCCGAAGACAGAGGCTTAACCCAGTGAGCCACCTAGGTGCCCCAACTTTTATATAAGTTTTATCGTTTATTCTTCCATTTTGCTTAAAATGGTAATCAAATATCTATTTGAATCAAATATCTATATGAAAAAGAATTCCTAACTTTTCTTAGGCAGTAGTCTACCAAGCATATAAATAGTATTTAATTGGTTGATCTCAAATTTAATGCTTCAGCCTCAAGTATCTACATTTACCCTATCCACATCTTATTTATTTATTTATTTGACACAGAGAGAGAGAGAGATAGTGAGAGCAACAACACAAGCAGGGGCAGTGAGAGAGGGAGCCTGATGCAGGGGGCAGGTGTGCGGGCCTGATGCTGGGGCCAATCCCAGGACCCCAGGATCATGACCAGAGTGGAAGGCAGATGCTTAACAACTGAGCCACCCAGGCTCCCCTCCTCCTTTTTTTTTTTTTTTTTTAAGAGAGAGAAATAGAGAGGGCATGTGAGAATGGTAAGGGGAAGGACAGAGGGAGAGAGTGAATCTCAAGCAGGCTCCATGCTCAGGATAGAGCCCAACATGAGGCTCAATCTCATAACCCTGAGATCGTGACCTGAGCTGAAATCAAGAGTTGGATGCTTCACTGACTAAGCCACCCAGATGCCCCTTAAATTTCTTAAATTATCTTAAATTTCCTTAAACTGTCCAGAATGAAATATATCATCACCTAAAATTGCTTCTGGCTCTTAAATTCTACAAGACTAGGTCAAGCATTTACCAGGCTGGCTTCTCTAGAAAGCAGACTTTGAGAATTAGGAAACTTTTGCTCTAAGATATTTCTGTATCATTTCAGTCATCATCCACAGTAAATTTTGAGCCTCCTTTATGTTTTGTATGAGGAATGTTTTTCGCTCATTGGGAAATGGAGAGGTATAGGACATTATAAGTTGAGTTGTTTAAACATCATTAAAAAATAGCAATTCTGGCCAATATTTGCTTTTGGTCCCAAAGTAAACACACATACACACACACACAAACTTGTTGATTTGCAACATATATGACATGAAGAAAAGGACTGCATACCTTGAGGTGGCTGGCTGGCTCAGTCTGCAGAAGATATGACTCTTCATCTCAGGGTTGTGAGTTGGAGTCCCATGTTGGGTGTAGAGATTACTTAAAATCTTTTTTAAAAAATTATTTATTTATTTATTTTAGAGAGACAGAGAGAACGAATAGGGAAAGAGGCAGAGGGAATCTTGAAGCAGACTCCCAGCTGAGTGTGGAGCCAGACGTGTGGCTCCATCCCATGACCCATGAGACCATGACCTGAGCCAAAACCAAGAGTTAAATCCTAAGCCAACTGAGTCACCCATGCACCCCCAGTTAAAACTAAAATCTTGGAAAAAAA